CGTTTTTTAATAACTGTATTTTATTTCACTTCTTGGTATTCTGGTGGTATGGATTGTCCTTAGTTTTGGCGGCTGCCCGCAATAAGGCTGAAAAGTCGCAACTAAGTTGCATAAGCTACATAAACATATCTTCATCTCCTCGTGCCATCCGGCAGTGTTTTCAGGATGTCTGAGGAAAGTTATGGCGAATCTCCTGTAAGCTCTTGGAAATCCTTTCTCGCCGGTGGTTTTGGCGGAATGTGCACTGTTGCTACGGGCCACCCGCTTGATACAATCAAAGTTCGTTTGCAAACCATGCCTCACCACCTGCCTGGAGAAACTCCGCTTTACCATGGAACTATTGACTGTGCTCGTAAAACTATCGTGAATGAGGGAATTCGGGGCCTTTATAAAGGCATGTTTGCACCGTTGATCGGTGTGACACCCATGTTTGCCGTCTGCTTCTTTGGATTCAACCTAGGGAAGGAGTTATTTTGCAGAGATCCGAATCGCATAACGTAATTTATGTTATTTTTCACGTTCGTAGCAAACTGGAGATATTTTGTGCTGGCTTGCTTTCCGGTGTATTCACGACGGCTATAATGGTTCCTGGTGAAAGAATAAAATGTATTTTACAGGTAAATTTTATAAATCCTTTTTTGAAATCTAGTTTTCTTCCAAAATAAACAGTCTGCCTTGAACACTTTATCTTTTACCACTTACACAGGTTCAAGCTCATTCCACTGGGCCGATAAAATACAAGGGTCCTATGGACGTCGTTCGCAAACTCCACAAAGAAGGCGGTATCCGCAGCATTTACAAGGGAACGGCAGCCACTCTTCTCAGAGGTGAGTCCGCGCAACTATTAGAAAAAAATTCTTGCGTCAATTACTTTCTTGCTGTGTTATCACATGTAAAGTGAGGCTTATTCGGCGCCGTTTTTACTAGGTCTGCTTATCTGTACAGTGGCTAATTACGTTCTTAATTTTTGAGTTGTGTGGAATTGATAAGTTTATACGCCACATTCAAAGTTGCCCGTTTTTAAATGACTCCTGCGACCACTTCCTCGTTTTCAGTTTTCTATACCCCAGGCGAAACTTTCTGGGTTGTGTAACTTATTTCCAGTAGCAAGTGAAATTGAAATGTAATCGGTTTTTGCATATTTTACCATTTCTCACAAAAAATTAATTTAACCTTTTAAACCGAAGTAGACTTTTTTGGCGATGAACATATTGTTTGACCTTTAGGGTTTATAGATATCTCTCTTGTGAGTGATCTTTTCTGTGCTCTCGTGTATACTACTTACCTTTCTTAAATTGCAGATGTGCCTGCATCCGGAATGTATTTTTTGAGCTACGAATGGATTAAAGAACTACTCAGGCCTGCTACTGCAGCGTAAGTATTTCTTTTTGTTCACGAGGCTACAGTCTTGATGACAACTGCTTACCCCTTTGTGCATCTGCTAGTTAGCAAGGAAACCTTACATTTGGACCTGATCGGCGTCAGAAATTTCAAGAGTTATAGTGCTGATGACGATGTTAAAAACTTAAGACCAATAGTAGACTTATTCTTATTACTTTAAGGCATTAGGTTATCAGTGTTCATTATTCATGTCTTTTGGGATTTCATTGTAAAGTCCTTCTAGTGCAATTATCTTGTCTGGTAATGTAATATCCTCTCGTTCTTTTTCTGGCTATCCTGGACTTAATTTATCTGAGTTCCCCGCTTTCGGAGTGTTTAGCCAAATAAATTTCTGCATGAGTTGTTTCATGCGTTATCAAATGTCTTATTTAATAAATCACGCGTAACCACTTGAAATTAAACTCTTCCTTGGCACCACCTTAATAACTTGCCATTGACCTTTTTATTTTATCAGGCAAATTTCTGTAAAATGTCTTCTATTTGTTTGAAACAAAACACCCACAGAAACATGTAGCTAAAAAGGGTAAACAAGTCAGTCAGGCAAGAAAGTAAAGAATATGCGGTGGATTTTCTATCTCATGAAATGTCAACCAACATTATGCGATGTGCCTTCTATTTGAACAAAGGTAGCCATTTCGATTATCCCACAGTCTACTCGCAGAATATTTTAGTCACCTGACGATACCGGCCTTTAAACGAGCTTTGTTCTGACCGCCTGCAAAGGTATATTCTATAAAATTACTATTTAAGTAGTATACATTTTCTCGTCGATTCTTAATGCCTCCATAAATAGATTTAATGAAAAAATATACATTAAAATATGATTGTGCCCCTTTTGTAACAAATTATGCATTCACATTTTATACTGGAAGAAAGGATATGTTTCAGTTTTAAGAAAGTTTCTATTTGAGATTTCTTACGACCCTGAAATTTTCATTCATAATACATCGTGTCCGTCGATTTATTCGTGTTGCTTATAATATATGCAACATGCTCATCACCCATCGCGAGATTTTGCGAGAACTATGTGACCTCTTCCTCATACCGTAGGGAAATTTATCCCTTTTCTTGGACCTATTTTATGCAGCATGCACTTTGAAAACTTAAAATTCAAGTGTAACGGCCGATAAGGTTCAAAATTATTCGCCAGTTGAGAGAAAAATGTAAAACCGACAGACTCCCCTTCCTTAAGAGTAACATTTAAAGACGACATATTTGTTTACCAAAACGTACAAGAAATAATATTTTCGTGAATGTTCTCCATGAAATATGTTTGAATTTGTAAGGGCCTAGAAAGTCAATGAAAAGAATTCATCCTGTTTAAGTAGCCATCTTTTTACTGAACATACTTTTACATGCGATTAGGGAGAATTTCGTCCAAAATCCGGCCCTCTGACGTGACTAAAATGTCTTAGGATTAGGCGGTACGATAATCAGAACCCTACTTAATTGATTTGTTCGAATCAGAGACGCACTTCAGGATTTTGATTGAGCTTTCATGATACAGGACATCAACTGCATCTTGGCCGCAAAGAAAGCCCGAGTGACTTTTTTT